AGTGGAGAGTCTGGTTTGCCATACTGAGGTGTGGGGATTTCGATGTGTGTGAGAAGCAAATGAGTTTCAGTGCCCCAAAAGTTGGAGACGCTGCTGCAAAAAGTTTAGTAACAAGTACCACAGGAGGCAGGGTACTGCGTCTCCCCGCCTCTCTATTTCCTCGCTTCCCTGCTGGGGCTGCCAATTACATCCAGCTCTGATGGTGGCTTTTTGACACTTCTGCTCACTGGGAAATGGACTTAGACTAGTATTTCATTGCATTTAGGCTTTTAAACAACATCAGAGAGAAATGACTTTCAGCTACTCCGTCTGAACTGGAAGTGAGCCAGCACTCCACACAGAGATGGAGAGATGGTCCTGGTTTGACATGGCCGTTCCCTTGTGTGACAGGCTTTCTGCAAACGTAGTGGGCACCCTTATTTGCCTATATCAAGTGGGACTGTGTGCACTTTGGATTATTTTAGGTACTGTCTGCACATTTCCAGAATTCACAGAAAAAAACACTAGTAGAGGCCAAAAGGGCAATGAGAGGTGGAAAGGATGGGAAATTTTAAAAGCAAAAAGAGTTTGGCATCCAATTCTTCCCGAAAATCAATTGGAGTTCAAAACAATGCCCTTTGCACCTTGTAAATTTGACCTTTGGTCTTCACAAAGATAATGCTGCAATTGAGAGTTTGGGCTCAGTGCCTTTTTCAGACATCAGTTGATTCTTTATGTGCATATACATGTGTAACTATATATTTGTATCTGCTACAGAGGTTTATGTTTGTTTTACATTGTCTGAACTTTTTGACTGTGGTCGTTGTGAAGCAAACTGTAACCAGACCCAGGGTGAGATGCTCCTTAGGAGGGGTTGTCTCAAAACGACACATTTAGGGTTTTCCATTCATTTACCTTGCTATTTTCCTTGCACACTTCATTTCCACTTGTCTGATCTCCTGTGAGCATAGAGAACAGGTTGTTCCCTTTCTCTTGGCAGCCTTTATGAACTCGAGGACTGCTGTGACCCTGCCTTCCTCTCTCGCCAAGTCTTTTCTTCCTCTGGGAAAGCAGCCCCAGTTCACTCAGCTGGCAACCTGCCATCAGAGGTGGTGACTTTTAGGCCACCCATGGTGCTCTCCTACACTGTGGCAATCCCCTCTGTATTTCTGGATTGCGCTTATAGACCTTGGCATAACATGTAGCTTTCTCATGCCAGCCAGACACAGTGGACTTGTACTCTGCTTGCGAACGGCATGCGCCCCAGCCTGCACTCTTCTGAGCTGCCTCCCCTAGCTCCTCAGCCAATGTGCTCCTGCCTGCTTGTACTGCTTTGCATGGTTGTCCCTGCTGTACCATTCTCTGATTTGGGCTTCTATCTCTCTCTCTTATTCAAGGAGAAAAAAAATAAATAAATTCTGAGTTCAGAGTTCCATGGCTGATTTTTACTATTTTTTTTTTTTTTTTTTTTCAGATGATACATACCTGTGCATGCTCACATCAGTCCTGTAATGTAAAATTTTGCACTGATATGGAGGCTTGCTAGCTGAGTTTCTGCCAAACTAGGAACCTCTTCTGTTGACAGTGAGTTTCCCTTACTGCCTGGCTTTGTTTCATTGACTGAGGATGGTATATTAGTGATTTTTTTTTTTTTTTCAAGCTTTCCTTTTTAAATTTACCAGTAGCTAGGATGGAGAAGGTAAACCAAGTGCCAAGAGCACAAGAGGAGTTGAAGGTGTGTGTGAGGAGAAAGGGCTTGGATACAGCTGTCTGTGTGCTGATTAGCAGGGTGTTTGGGACATGGGGAGTGTACCGCTATTTGCTTGGCTTATAAACCAACTTGGTTTACATTTTAATTCCAGGAACTTTTCTCACCCTGTTATATAATTTTTGAGTCATTCATCTGTAGCAAATGAAATAAAATGATGCCTGTCATCAAATGGACTTGGTTCCAGCCTAGGCTAAGTTGGGGATGAGCTGGATTTGTTGAAGCATTGCACTTATTGCCTTGATGTATTTAGGGACTAGGTAATCTTCCAAAAGCTTCGGTCTAGATCTGTGTTAGGAATTTTGCTCTATGCCTGTTAAACAAATCTCTGTGCTCTCTGAAGCTGCATATTTTGTGGTTGGCTTAGGAGGTAGCATATTCTTCATGAGTGTATCTATCCTCAGGCATGGGCCATCCAAACCTCCCCACAGCGCTATGGTTCTGGGCCAGGGCTGGCCATTCACCTTTTACAGGTTGGTAAATAGCGTGAAGATGCTATAGATGCATTATCAGTAGGGCAATTCTTCCAGCTCCCCCATCTCCTGATTGCAGCAACCTCTGAAAACAAGATGTGCACATTCCTAAGGCTCAATTTGGCTCTCACGAGGCTTGGAATAGAATGACAAACAGCATGCTGCTTTCTTTATTGTTTCAGTTCAAGGACTGTCTACAAAGAGTCATAACCCTGTGCTTAGCATTACATAAAAGTTATTCATTTTCTAGCTCTACAGAGAAGTGGTTGAATCGCAGATGATTAGCATTTGCTGTATTTTCTTTTCTAATGCTTTCCTGTCCTTTTGTGGCATACCTTGGTAAGTGGCCTCAGAACACTTTGCTTTCAAGGGGACATCTCCCTCGGAAACCTATTATCAAGGCTATTTCAGAAAAGTTGCTCTTGTTTGGTACATCTGGCAGACTGTCTCTGGAAAGCCAAACACATCACTGTGGCAGCGGCTTGACCTCCACTAGTCAATTTATTCCACCTCCCAGCTATATTCAAAGGACTTTTTAAGGAATCCTCTCCAGAGTAAATACAAAGCTCTGCTCTCTGAGCAGTTTGTTAGGATAAAGAATCCCCCAACACTTTTCCTTTGGAGCTGCTTTAGTTTCTTATAATCAAGCCTGGCTGCTGCTCTTGATATGCAGCAGTGCAAAAGTTCTAGCACCCATGTTTGGCATTCGGGTACTGTTGCTGGTTATCACCAGAGTGGGATAGACTAGACACACCTAATTGTCATTTAAGCTACTAAATTCTTCTTTGTCTTGTTCTTGGCTTGTTTTAGAGACAGGTATGGAAGTGATTTTGTGTTCAGAGTTTTATTTGGAGCTTGAGGCAAAGACTAACTCAAGGCGTTCAGCTTTGCTGAATTTTAGGAATTTTCTGGTATTTTGCAAATGTTAATTGACTAATCATTGCAGCAGCGAATGTCATCTCATATAAAAGAATAGATTATAGAGCCAGAAGGGACTGTTGTGATCATTTTGTCTGACTTACTGCATGACACAGGCCCTAGGACTTTTTATATGAACTGAAACCGTACTTCAAAGAAGACCAAAAATTCAATCTTGATTTAATCACCAGCTACAGAGAATCAACCAGAACACGGTAAATTTTCCAGTAGCTAATTGCTGCCAGTGTTTAACAAATAATTGCACAGCACTTCATTTCTTTCCTGTCCCCTTTCAAATTGGATTCTTGGGTCCTGTTAGGCTTTAGTCTGATGATTGACAAGCACTTTAATAATGTTGCACTCACTATCTTGGTATCTAAAAACTGTGATCAAGCTTCTCATTTACTTTCTCTTTCATAGGCTAAACAGTAGACTCCTAAAGTCACAAACCTAAGGTAGGTTATTTTGTCTCTCATTATGGCTTTTTTTTCCTCAGCTGTTTGTAGGTGTTCATCCAGACCTGGGCTCCTCAATAAAAGACTGAGACAAAGCTACTGGAAATAATCCAACAAAGGGCTAAGAAGATGATTTGGAACCGGAGCACCTCTACTATGAGAAAAGGCTGAGAGATGTGGGGCTGCTCAGCCTGGAGAAGAGGAGGCTCAAGGGGTATCTCATCAATGTGTACAAATACCTGAAGTGCGGGTGCAAAGACGATGGAGCCAGGCTCTTTTCAGTGGTGCTTAGTGACAGGACAAATTGATTTAGTTCCTCCTTGAAAGGTGAAAAATAAGTGGCTTTTCATTGCTGAACCTCAAAGCTCAGTTGTGGTTGATGGTTATAGTGTCCATGGATTACCCTTAGAAAAAGTAAGGGAAAAAATATTGCTGTCAGATACGCCTATCCATTCTTGTTAGTCAAGTTTTTCAAGATTACTTCAAGAAGAGAAATGTGCTTTTAGAAAAAGAAAAGGCAAGGTTCATCCATCCTTCCCCACCCATGCAGGAGCAGACTTGCTGAAGAACAAACTCCATTTGTAGAAGTACTTTTGAGTTGGGTCAAAACCAAACTCGATGTGGAAAATTTCTTTCAAACTCCATAGGCAGTGATGAGGAATGAGAGAAAAAAAAACAGAAAGAATCTTCCATAGGCTTAGGGTTTGCATTTAACTGAGATTATTTTGCTGTGCCTGTCAGTTTATTGCACTGCAGGTTACTTTTTAGCTAGGTTGGTGGTTTGTGAGTGTCTAGTCAAATGAGTGGTAAACTTTTGCTCTGAATGCAATGCTTTAACACAGTTCCCTGGATTTACACTGATATAAACCTCCTGGAAGTTGTGCTTTCTCTGCAGACCTAACAGAGGTTATGAACAGTACTTCTGAAATCAGCATTTAAATAACATTTCAAAACCACTAGAAACCTCATTATCCTGAATATATAGTTTTAGTAGTCATACAAGCAGTGAAAATGCAGCGAACCAAAAGTGCAACTTGTAACTGGACAAAGCAACACCACTGCGTAAATACTATGTTGATAAACATCCAATTAACCACTAGGTACCCTGACATATCAGTGTGTTTGCTGAAGCTTGGTAAGGTAAGAGCAATTTGGAGGTAAGTGTCCTTCTAATGGTATGGGGATTTGCTTTTGAATATGCCACATGTCATGATAAATACAGCCTTTAACAATACAAGTGAAGTCTCCTTGCAGTTATCCAGGATTATCTAGGAATGTAGAGCAAAATTGGTGACCATCATTAAATGGAATCACATGCTGTATTTTTCCATTTAAATCTGAAAATGCAATTCTCAGTCCCTGTAAGACTGGAGTACATGTACTCATGCCCATACTGTTTTCCCAAATTCCCCCTGACCAAAGATATGCCAATCTTCTGGGAAGAAAAAAAAAAAAAAATTTTTTTAGGCAAGTGTTTTAAATCACTGCTGTCAAACATTGTTTCCTTATGAAGAAAAGCAGTTTTGAGGGGCTGTAGCCAGATCTGGGGCAGGGAAGGGACTCATAACATCTCTAACCAAAAGCCTTGTTCTTTTCCCAATGTGGGGACGCCCTGAACCATACAATGGAGGTGTGTCTATGCCCTTGCAGAGCCACAGCCTTTTTTTCATCTTCACCATATGATGACATTGTACCAAGACATCTGCAGTCTATGTAACCTGTTTCTGGAAACACAGAGTTTGACTTGGTGGACCCTAATGATGGTGTTTTAAAAAAGCACCCTCACAGCTGCCAGGTACAGATTAAGTGTGGTGGCATAAGATGTGACAAGGCCTGGACTTTGCATGGAGGTTGATAAGGTGTGGGCACATCTACCCTTCTCCCCAGAATGTCTTGAGTAGGTACCAAGTGTCTGGCAGGGGTCATACTTTCTGCAGTGTTCTTGGTCACTGGAAGTACTTTAACTCCAGAGACATCATGCCCAGCGAGGTGGGGCTCCTCACCTGGGTGAAACCACACCTGCCCGTGTGTAATCACAAACCCTCTGTTTTAGTGAGGTCTCTCTCATATGCACTCCCTATTTCTATGGTAAGGGTTTTGCCCTTTTTATTTACTTATTTATTTGGTAACTGATGTTTTGTTTTCTGTTCTTTTCTTTTTCAGGGCCAGATGGCAACCCATGACTTATCCCTCCTACTTATCCCAGTGACTCTTTGGCATCAGAGGAAAAAACTTCTGCAAGAAGCCTGTCTCTACAGTCACTAAGCTCCCAGAGACTTGGTAGCAGTTTTCATATCTTCTTTGCTGTAGTTTATTTCTTTACCCTCCCTCCTAGGTGTTTTACTAATTCTTTGTTTTTCCTATCTCCTTTACCAGCACTTTCTGTAGGCTGCATTTTTTTTCCTTCTGTGTAAAGCAGTGTGATTCACGGGATATGGCTTTGTAGCTCCTGCTTAGTGACCTCTCCTGGTTCCTCACCTCGTGTTCTTCACTGGTCAGAGCCATTGGTGTTTAGATGCTCAGCAGAGGTGATTGCACAGCCTTTGACACCTCACATCCCCTGCTGCCTAGATTTGAAAGAGGTAATCATTTCCAGAGACCTGCCAGTGACCCTTTCCTCGAGCTTTTGTCGTTCACCTTTTACTATCTCTTTTTTTTTAAAGAGCTTGAAGTATCTGGATTCTTCTGCTAGGCATGAAAAGGACACATGCACTGAAATCTTAATGACTTCACCATTCTTTCAGAGTACTTTCACCTGAAACAATATTGCATGGTTACCTCTGTGTCAAATCTTTAATGCCTTTTGGAGTGGAATCTCCAGCTTCTAGTCTGGTTCCTTTTCTATTCACTCAAAAACAAGGGGACACTGTGAGATGGAAAGGTTCAATACCTCTCCTTTTTAACTCAGTACATACTCATGCTGCCTGGCAATGATGCCTGCATTGTTACTCCTTCCAGAAGTTGAGCAGAATGTCAAAAGGACCTATGTGCAGGCAAGGAAACTGCTCACAGATTTAGCTGTGAATATTTGAAACAACCAAGAAGTTGAGAAGACCTGAGACAACTTTGGACATCAGGAGAAAACTTTTTTTTCCTTGGGTTTACTATACGGTTTCTTCAACAGAAATGCCTGATGCTCGATGTGATCACTAGACTGCTGTTTGGAGTGGGTCTAGCTATTTCTTGCCATGTATTACAGGTGACATCCAGTGCCATAGAGAGTGAGAAAATATTTCTGCACCTTTTTCACGTTTTATGTGAATTCTTATGAGCCATAAAAAAAAAGAAACTAAGACTAAAGAAACAGATTAGTCTTATTTAGATTATTTAAATGACCCTGTTTTGTCCAGAGAGTTAAAATTGTACATCAAAAATCCTAAAGGCTATGTTAAATCAATTGCAAACACAGAGAAAATTGACTTTTAATAGTATAAAAGCAAAAAGTCCTATAACTCCCCTCCAAAGCCCCTTGATATGTCTTTGATGAATCCATCTGAGAAAAGAGCTGAAAATTGATTTCCAAAAGCATAATGTACTTTTTTTTTTTTTTTTTTTTTCATTTTTGCTTCAATAAATGATACATTTGAAATATTTCCTTTGGGTTCACAGTAAATAGATGAAGTAATGATTTTGTGTTTATTCTTTCCTTTTTTTTTTTTTTTTTTTTTTTTATAATGTCTTGCAGTAAAGCAACTTCTGGATTGCTTCAAATGCACTGGCAACATAAATAGCAACAGTTTTCCAGATGAAGAAATCTATGTGGGATATGTTAAATGGTAAGCTAAACCTGAGTGCTGAGTCTCATGAAAGGTATAAGAAAAGGAAATTCTGCTGCTTTGGTGACAATGTAGATGCTTACATTTTAAGTCCAAGGCTGGTTGTGTTATTTTGAATGGATTTAGCCTCTGTTTTTTCTTCTCCTTTTCAAAGTGATTCACAAATTGTGGTATTCATGCCTTCATTCATTACTTGTAATTGTGCAGGGAATCATTTGTCTAAACTGCAGCTGTTAGATTTGCTATAAATCAAATTCAGTGTCCGTTTTCTTTTTTTTTTCTTTTTTTTCTTTTCTTTTCCCCTTCCTGGTCACCTGAGTTTATGTGGTGCTATTCTTCTCCAGTCAGAAAAAAATGAAAAAAATTAAAAAACTGTGACTAAGTTTAAATACAGATAAATGCTAATATTTGGGGTACAAACTCACATAGATCAGAACAGGTCTACGGGCAGCTATAAACATGCAGTAGTCTTTGGTCTGTGAAAGAAAATGGGAGTGAGAGTTTCTACAGACATGGTTTTATGTTAAGGTTCCTCCACCTACATTAAGAGCTTCTTGCAACAAGAAGCTTTTCATTATCTAAAAAAATTTTTATCAAATGTGTATATGTAGAGTTCTACTCAGTGTGTGCTGTAAGATAACTCTGCACTTATTAATTAACCACTTAACTCCTTAACTATGTTCTCTTATAAAAATTGCTTTCCGTATTCTAGTAATCATCTGAAATTTAGGCTGGAGGAAGCCAAATTTTGTTTCTCAGAGCTCAACAGACCAATGCTGTTGTCCTTCCTGGCAGGGAACTAGTGGATGGGCTGAGAGTCACATGGGAGCAGTATGCCTGCTCAAGACTTCAAGCCAGCTTTTTATTTTCAGCCTGTCTGTATCCTGGGTTTGACTGGTGCAGTGACTCGAAAGTGGGTTATACAAGCTAGCATAATGTTATGCGCAGTGTTGAGAGGAACACTGCTGTGAAATCTCTCTTTTGTAATATCTTGGCACCACCAGTCCTTGGTGAAAAATTGAATAATTGTGTTCAAGTCTAAGGATGGGCAAGAAGAGCCGGTAATAGCCCGGTTCACATATCACAGAGATGCATGCATCCGTCTCTGTAACTGGACTACTTTTTGTCTGCTGTAACATTCCTCACCTTGTGGGAGGGTGTCTGCACCCACTGAAGTCTCTCATGGCAGGCTCAGTGATGCTCATAGTGCTGCTGTGAAATCAGATGCAGTTAAGAGGAAGATGCACGCTATGGATGGGTCCATAGTCTAGTGATTTATGTACCTAAACTCCATCCTTTTTCTGTTACAAACATTTTGCACAGCTTTTAGCAAGTTGTTCAATCTTTCCACCTGCAGGCTGGGTGTGTGAGCATTTGTGGTCTTCACAGGGGTGTTGTGAAGAAGCATCTCATCAAAAAACAAGTGAAGGCTTTGCGATATTGAGAACGTAGAGATGGTAAAGCCTCCAGCCAAGAAGCAGCAGTGGGATGTAAGAGAGAATAAGGACTTTAATTCTGAGTTGTTTTGTACTCATGGGAAAGTTGGTCTGTAAAATGTCAAGAACAGCTTTTGCTTCTCATGCCCCGGGGTTCATGCTGTTCTCAAATTCAGATAATGTGTGTTGATGGAAAGGGAGAAATGACACTTTTTGTTTAGAGGAAAGGCATGTAATAGTTTCCTCCTTTTGGATTCACAAGTATTTATTTAGATACTGTGCACCACGTTGTGCTTGCACATAGAAGACCCTTCAACACCTCATTGGTACAATGGACTAGTGGTCTCAGTTTATGCCAGGCTTTTGTAGCTAGTGGTGCAATGAGCACTGAAATCACCAACCAAGTGGTCATTTCTGAGCCACGCAGGAGGCTTTGCAGTCAGGTCCTGCACAACCTCCCTGTCACACAGTACAAGAACCCAGGCAAGATGTGTGTCCGGTTCATTTGACAGCTATCCCAAAAGGAGGAGCAAACCGTGTACATCTGTATGGAGCAGCAACAAATTTTGGTGCAAAAGCAGGGCAGAAATTCATATCCACACATCTGAAGACATGGAAAGATGTTCTAATTGCTTTGTCTCATGTTGCACAGCATCTGGTTTGTTTTAAGCATGTGGCATGCACACGAAGATGCTGGAGAATAGAGTGGGTACTTTTACACTGAGCTGTTTCCCAGGGGGCTGGAGACCTCACTGGTGTGCTCACACAGGGGTGCAGAGCTTGGTGTCACCTCATCCTGAGCTGGAGGTGCAAGTGGAGCTGTGTGAGCAGGGTGGGAAGCGTAGCCCACAGCTGGGAGTCACACAACATGGGGTGGTGCTGGGACAGGCGCCCAGTGATGTGTTGTCACAGGAGCTGGGTGATCTGATAATTTGCATGCAACAGAGCACAGACTGAAACAGGGAATTTAAAAAAACAAACAACATGCAATCCTTTCCTTATACAAAGCTTGACTCAGGGTAGATGTGGTGTAGGCCCTCTAGCCAGCTTCAATTAATGGTTCCTGGACAGTCCCTCACTTCCAAATCATGTAGTGTTATAATAACTGTCTGCTAGCTCACAGAAAGAATATAAAACTACTGCTGTCTTTGAAGTTCACAGCCAGGGAATCATGGTTCCTAAAGACTATTAATTATCTCAGCAGCCAAACTCTGCTAGGCAAAACTCCAGTCTAAATGGCAGGCAGCAAGGCTGGTGTTATATTGCAGCTCTTCCTCAGAATAATGTCTGCAAACCAGGAACAGAAATGGTGTGCACACTCTAATCTCATTGAAACAGCCTGCAGAGGTACATGTATAAATCAGGGGTTAAGCAGAAATGTGTTTTTCTGAAGAAAGTGAAGGCACTTTCAGTGTTTAATTAACAGAATGCTAATTGGGTAAATGAGGGAGAATTAAAAGGGAAGCACAAATTGTCTGTAAGAGATTGGCGGTGAAGCTCTTATAGCTGAATATTTGACCTGTGAATAGAAATCATAAGTCAAGAACAAACTCTTAATTTGAGAGTTGTGGTATTGAGCTAAAGATGTTCAGAAAATCTAGATTCTGGAGAGTGAAAATACTTGTAAAAAAGTGCTGTGTTAGCCAAGAATATGTGCATGCTGTATACAGATGGACTTCCTTGCAGTGGTTGCAGTTTTACCTCACAATCCTGTGAGCATTTTTTTTTTCATCATTTGTCCTCCCACGTGGCTCTGATACATCAGAGCTGGGAGCAGGGAGGGAGGGAAAGGAGGTCAAAGAATAAGGTTTTGCTCATGGGCACTCATATTATAAGATGCTCAGGAAGGGCTTTATTCATAAGAAATGGGACCACATGATTCACCGTAGTTACAAGGAGTGTAATTTAAAAGCGCGCAGCCCTAGGGCACAGCAGGCAGAGGTGTGATAAGTCTGAGCATCCAGCCTGCAGAGAAGGAAAAAGCAGAACCTCTGAGCCTGGGCTCACTTTTGGCACTCTGCTTGTCAGGTGATGCTCCTTGGTGGTTTAAGCCCACTTTTGGGGCAGCAGTGAGAGCATTTTGACGCCTTGTCGCGGTGCTGGGCTCTGAGCACTGCATGCTCAGCGCACCTGCTTTGAGCAAGGCTCATTTGGTAGTGGTGGTAGCGCCGTGCTGAGGGAGAGGCTTTGCAGCCAGAGAAATCTGTCCTGTGGTTGTGTACTGCTCAGTGGCCATAAAACCCAGAAGACCACATCTCTTTTTGTGACGGTGCAGATACAAATGGCTTGAGGCGGTCCAAGCAGGGAAAAAAAAAAAAGCCAGTGTTACCAGAGGTCTTCCAAAGCACTTGCAAAGTTAAATAAGCAGTAAATGATTCCATTCATGTGCAAAACTCATTTAGGTTGTAGCTGGAAACAAGGCTCTGTGAAGCACTCCAGTCAGTCTCCTCTTTTACGTGTACGTTATTTTAAGAACTGGAAAGGGGGCAATCTGATAAACACTGAATACAGGTCCTCTTGGTTCTTTAGAAGCAGAAAACAAACCATACATCACAGCTGTGCTTCATCCTAAGATACTGACAGCAGGCTTGAGGTGTGTTTATAGCAGTGCTCTGTGTTTGATATAGACATATATATATGAAAATATATGACTTTAAAAATATATTCTTCAAAATATATCTCTCAGCCTATAATTTAGTTTTGGACCATGTATGTTTTATTTTTGTATTCTAGACATTTCTCTGAGTGCTCTGATTCAGTGGGTCTCCAGCATCAGAAAACTGATCAGAAACTTCAGGACTGAGCTAATGCCTCCAAAATTAGTGGGCCTTATTTTGAGGGTGGCCCTGGTCACAATGTGTGCCCTGTGAAGACCAGCAGGCTGAGGAGCACTGGGCTGTAGCCCACGTTTACTTATCTGAGTTTCATTGCTTCAGCCAGCCCCATGACAAAAACAGGTATTGTTTTGTGTAATAATACATTGCTTCTTTTCCTACTACCAGTGACAGTAATTTCTTTTGTTCCCGTGTCAGTCATGACTCTTGGACTAAAAGTGAGCATGTTCCTCAGGTTACAACGAGTGGTCAGAACTGATTAATTGCATTGGCACCTGGTTCATTTGATGAGTCTCAGGGACTTGGATTCATGTATTGTTTTTTTTTTTTCTGAGGCTGAAATTGGTGTTTAGCATATTATTGACCAAATTTTCTCTGATGTGACTTGGGACAAATTAATGTCACCATTTCATTTAGGACCTTCAAGGGCATGAATAAATAACAAGTTTTGCATGAGAAAACTAAATAGGGTGTGAAACTTCGTTGTGCTTGTGAGCAAGTAATTGTATGTTAGGTTTGGATATGATTGATTGCGGCACGTGTTATGTATCTGTGCTTATCTTGAAAATCTTCACGGAGATTTTATTCTATTGAAAAAAAAATTAGTAAGGGATTTTATTTTGAGGTGAATTAAGGTTATGAGTTGGTTGAGTTGGCATATTACTGTTTTCACTCTGGAGATGACTATGATCTTCTTCAGTTGCGGAGGAAAAAGAAGTAACACTATGCTCCTCTCCCTACCTACCCCAAACTCCCAAAGACCTAGATGTGGCTTGGAGATATTTTAAAAAGGGATGCAACCAGCCAGTTGTAAATGGAAAAATAATGTATATCTGAATTAGATATCATGCTTGGTTACTGTGTCCTGCCTCCCACAGTTGACATAATGCTGGTGGGGTGTTTGTGCCTACAGAGAGCTATGTTTCCAAGCACTGTGTGCCACTGTAGTATCCAGATGCTTCTTCAGTAGGCTTGTCTACCCTTAGGGTGAGAGACATCTAAGCTGGCCTTGGCTGAACCCCAGATGGCTCTGTTTGTCACAGCAAAGAAGATTGCCCAAAGTCCCATGAACCATTGTGCAGAGTCACCCAGGAGAGTCTGCAGCCACCAGCCAGGAGCCAGAGCTAATAAGCCTGGCTGGGCACAAGCTGATGCCAAGGGAACCTAGAGAGATACTGCTGCACTTTCTTTGGTCCCCATCATTTCCCATTCCAGTTCAGCACTTAAGAAATAGACACTTGGGCTGGCTTTTCCTGGAGCAGCTCCAATTGGGCAAGGTTTCCTGAAACGTTTTCTATGCTTTCTGAGAGTGGGCAGGCTGCTTCCAGGGCTGGAGCTTGTCCTCATAAGCATGGTATTAGGCACAAGTTAATGAGCCTTGCTGGGCTCACTCTGGCTTGCACAAGTTAGTCTCTGCATGTATAGCATGGTCCATCCCCATATAGAGATTAAAGGTAGGACTGTGTTATAGTTCCCCCTCATAAAGGAGAGGGAAGGGGAGGGGGACAGGGCGTAGAGGTACAGTGAGAGAAGGCAGGTCCATGCTGGATGGAGGTATGGACAGCACTGCATTCAAGAGGCTTTCACCAGTGTTCAGTGTGGAGAGGAAACACATTTTATGTGGAGCCATTGGGTTCAAGAAAACCACAAATCCATTCATTTTGAAGCAGACTCCTTTCTGCCTTCTGAGCGTCCTTGCTTCTGGATGCTCAGTGAGAACCAGTGGCAGAGCAATCGCATGACCCAGCTCCAGCATGCCTGGTCCGCTGCTGATAACAGCAAAGCCCAGCATTCACACTCAACCATACACAAACACAGCTTTTTGGCTACTTCAGTATTAACAATAGCTATTTAGGACAGTAACTGATAGTTTGGTTTAGATAGAAGAGCTGCTCTTCTGGGTTCACTCCTCAATGTCAGGAGCATTGACAGTATACTGCTAATTACAGCCCTTTTATTAGTAATAATAATAAAAACCTGGGATGAATGTTTTAAAGTATAGCTATAAAAACCTTGCTGGAAAGATTTTTGGCAATCCCTTATGAGTTGGCTTCGGTTTTTGGTTTCTTGCTGTTTTCCCTAAGGTCTAGATTTTCTCTAGAAAAATGTGACAAGCAAATCCTTGCAGAAAAATTCAAAAAAATACAGTGCATTTTGAGAAATCTCCTGTGCAGGAGGCCAAGTCATCCAGTTACAAAACACAACTTTGCCTGATATACTGTGGGTGTGAGGAAGCAATGCCCTTGAGCTGAAGTACCAGACCCATTTATTTTGGCTCAGTTTAGATCCGACCTGGGTGAAAGGCATGGGCAAAATTGAGATGCACTGGCTTGCTCTGAAATCAGAGAGATTTGGCATCAGAGTTTTGAATTTCCTTGAATATAGATGCTGTGGAGAAGCTCACATGGCTCTAATTTAAATTAAAATGAAATCTAAAACAACAGCAAGAAGAATCCGAGGATGAGTCAGGTCTACCAGGGCACTTTCCATCTCCCTGAAGTTTTTCCTTTGGGACTGCCACGCTCTTTAGCTGACAGCCCTGGCACTTCTTTAATGTGAAATCTTCCAGGAAAATAATTAGAAAATGGGTCAGAACAGAACTCAAAGAAACCTGAGCAATTACAGAAAAATGTTCAACTTCCTGCAACCCCAACCTTGAATTCGTCAAACCTATGAATGCAGGTCAGGCAGAATAAGCGAGCCACATGAGACCAATTCAATATGCCTTTTGCCAGCATGCTGATTTACCAAAGTCACCAGAAATCCTCCCGGAATGTTTTCCTTCATGGTGATGAGGAGGATCTTGAAATCCAGTGACTGCATTAACACTGCTCTTTCCCTTCCCTTGACTTAGGGAAGTTTCACCTGCGTACAGGCTCACTCAGTTAATGAGATGTGACACTTGCCTTACCACTAATAAGAAGCAGAAATCGGAAGAAATGTATACACTTCTGAAATATTGCTGCAGGCCCCCTTTCTGTACATCTGGTACATATTTCTAATCTTTTGTTTTTCAGGGTAAGGTGGTGGAAATGTGGAAGTCATCAGCAGTTAGTTCTTTTCATAAAGGAGAAGATGCTGAAAATCTATGTAATTACAGACCCATTTCAATTTTATTCTCTGCAGTTAAATTATTTCCATGTCTTTTTTATAGTCAAAATGAACAAGTTTAGTTTACAAATATTTTACTACCATTAGAGTAACTTGATTTCCATTATCATCATTTTACAACTGTAGTATTATTAAAAGTGACAAATGACTCTGTAGTCAATTGCTCTACTGTGTGTTTGTGCGGTGGTTTATCTCTACTGCCAACCTTTGATCTAATGAGAGGCAGCAGATTTTATTTGGCCTTTTTGTTTTTTTGGCAGGCGACAGCTTTGCCTAAGTGACAGGAAACAATTCATTTTTCAAGTGCGGCAGCTGGAAATTTTTCTGTAACGAAAGATTTGGCATGGCAGCATTTGGGGATCCTGCAACGGTTATTGACAATGGCCTTATCTGCACGTTTATACATTTAGAGTAGCCCTTAGCAACAACACAGAGATGCTACAACTTTTGCCTGTTTTCTCCTACAGGTCTGCCAAGCGCTGGCCTGAATGCCTGGGGATTTCTGCACTCCAGTTTTATGGACTCCTGGCTACACACAGGCTGTGACCAAGACTTCCACAGCAGTGCCATCCAGCGAAGGGACCGCAGTGACTCCCGTCTTATGTACTCGCCTCCCTGTGTATATCCTGGTTGCCACTTCTGTGGTGTTTTGGGCAGCTCACAATCCCTCCATAGGGATGTATGTCTCCATAGGGATGAATGTCTCACCCCCGTCTTGTGTCACAGAAAAGAAAGTGTGGACTCTGGTGCTTCTGGCATCTCAGTGTTAATATCATTACTCTGTTAATTGTATGGGGCTGACAATTATCTGTGTCCCTGTTGCAAACCCAGCAGGAAGGTCCTGAGTCAGGGCTCAAGGGGGTAAAAAGAAACTCAATGGTTTTCTTCATTTTAGTCTTAATCGAAACTGAGTTGAAACTGGACTTGAGGTGGCTGAGTTTGTTTATTTGTGTTGAATGTTTCCCTCAGTCTGAGGACTCACATGTGCTGGTGACATCTGGGGTTTTTCGGCTCAGTGGGAGCGAGCCTTACCCTGAAGTCACTCCCTGGAGGGTGACACAGCTTAGTTGTCCTCAGTAGGGACATCACTGCATGAACTTGGCATGCCTGAATTGGTGGGACTCGTGTTGCATGCTGTACCTGCCGCTTTTTAATATAAACAGAATAAGAGCAAAGCCCAGGGATAACTGTTGTTGTATGTCAGTGTCAGCCAGTACTTAGGCTTTAAGATCATGAGGCCTATGCAGATCTGAAATACCAACAATCATTTTTGGGGGAGAAGTGGTAACGCTTTAATATCTGTTCCTCCAAATAGCTGGAATTGATTACAAGCCTAGCTGAAGGTGGTGTCCTTGTATTGGACAGTTTACAGTTCAGGCTCTTTCCTTATTTATTCCTATAGAAAGGCAGCTATGTTTGCTCATTTCCCCCTTTTCTGAACATTAAGTAGAAAGGGTTAGAAACTTTTTTAGTGAAAAGTGTAGGCATTAATTTTCTGAAAATGAACTTATTTGCAGAAATATTTGTTTCTCTTTTTAAAATTTGCCTTTCTTTAAAATATACTGTAAAGGCCACTCAGAAATTTTGGGAGTCAGCAAAATATTTTTAAATGTTTTAGTTACTGAGCTTGATCTATTCTTGAATTAGTTCATATCATTTGAGATGATGTATTTTTTAAATTTTTGTCTGAAAATTATGTGGCTTAAAAAGAGCTTAAAAAAAAAGCAGAAATACAGTCTTTAGTGGAAAGGGAAAACAGCAGGGTTTGGTGAAGTAGTCCCAGCTATCTGGCCACCATGTGCCATTCATAAAATCATAGAAGGGGTTGGTTTGGAAGAGACCTTAAAGGCCACCTTGTTCCACCCTCCTGCCATGGGCAGGGACACCTTCCACCAGACCATGTTGCCCAAAGCCCCATCCAACTTGGCCTTCAACACCTCCAGGGATGGGGCATCCACAGCTTCTCTTGGCAGCCTGTGCCAGGGCCTCACTGCCCTCTGAGTGAAGAATTTCTTCCTAATGTCTAATCTAAATCTACCCTGTTTTAGTTTAAAGCTGTTACCTCTTGTCCTATGTATGGATCAAACTGGAGGCAGACATGGCTATGGTGAACTTGCAGTGAGGGCATTTGGGGATACTGCAAAGCCATTCAACTTTCCCAATGTGTGTTGTTGGCCCTTGGTGAGCATTTGTGCGGTAGCTGCAGTGGTGGCCAGCTTCAGAGTTGCTGAAATCCCAGGGCAGATGCTTTACAGGGAGAGGTAACGTAAGGAAAGGGGTGGAGGTGGCTGATTTGTGCCTGTCTGGCAGTTGTAGGAGTAGTGCTGCCTCATGAGGGACATTGGTGGCATTAAGAAAGGCAGAAGCAGAGCATCACCAGCCAGAGTTGCATCCTGTGGTACCCAGACATATAGAGCAAGGACAGTCCAGTGGCAGCAATCAAGATCAGCCAAGAGTCCAGACCACTAGATAATTCCACAGTGAGGAGGCAGGCCTGAGGTCAGGCCAGGATGGATGAACATGGTGCATGGCCAGGCATGGGCACAGCTGTGACACGGCTCCAGTGAGGAGCTGCGACAAGCGCCTGGGCTTAAATGAGGTACATAAACACTGTGAGGAGAAATGCTTACATGTGAGATATTGTGCTTTGAACCAAGCATGAGCAATGTGTGGGTGTCTCTTTTTGATTGAGGATAACAATTTGGGAGTTTGGGCCATTATATCATCATTGCATTATTATTATTTTTTTCAGTAGTACTTTCAGTGAAGTAGTGTTTTTTTTTTTTTTTTTTTTTTTTTTTTTCTCCTACCTTCCTGAGAACCTCTTGTGAAGGAAATGCTTCATAACAAAGGTTAATTCCTTTGCCTCCTCCTGCCCTCTGCAAACCAAAAGTCATTTTAAAAATGTTTAGAATGGAAATGTGTCTGTTAATATTTACTATTCTGCTGGCATTTTTTTTCAGTTTCTTGAGGTAAAGATTTTTCTGATTCAGCCTGTAAACCCCTTTGGTATTATGGACGTTTCCCCCCTGTGCTGTGCACTGTGGTTGTATGGCTTCACAGCCACCTTCTGAGTCAGGGCTCCATTCAACCCTCTGCATATCACCGTGGCAATAGACATTGCTGGATGAATAAGGGTTAAAACATTCCATGATAACTTGGGCAGCTTACCTGCTGGGAGAGTGATTTGTGAGTCTAACCACCTTGGTGCCATCCACTCTTGACCCTGTAAACACTGCTCATGTCTGTGCTCCCACAGAGCCTGGTGGGTGCTATGACAATGATTGCACTTCTGTAAGAGCTTGTCTTTGGAGCTGGTTAATTGTATTGCGTTTAAGCATTGACATTTTGGCAGCATTTCCTTTTCTGCCACCAAACAATCGTTCACAAATGTTTCCGTTATTCAGCCATCTGTAATGCATGCCTATCAAAGGAGGAGCAGTCCTAATAATAATTACTGTCAGCCGCGTGCAGTGATGCAGTCACTTTGCAGCATTTACTCTTGGTGTAGTTCCAGTCAAATGGCGTATTTCCAATGCCAGCTTGATGCTCCTGTTGTAAAGGGAAATGTTTTACAGGAGAAGAGAGGCTTCTCATAATCCAGGCCTGTGGTCTGATATGATGCAGGGTAGCTGGGAGTTTCAGTTCCACTTTGGTGTTTGCTGGACTTACTGTATATTTGTTGTTGTTTTGTTTCAGGTTCCCTGCATGGGTTGGGGTGGTTTTCCCATTTAGGGGGTGAAGGGCGGCCTCCTGGCCAGGGACAAAGCAAGATGCTTCCTCATTGCCATGGCTGGCTGGGAGATCCCTCCTCTGACTGGCATGCTGGAGAAAACGTTTTTCTAGTCCTTGTGGCAGTGAACAGGAAGTCACTCCATAATGAGACACAGTGAGCTGATCCCCTCGATTTTAGGGAGTTGTTCCCATATGCCTGGCAGCACTGAACCTGGCAAAAACTTGTATTTTAGGCGTAGTGATGCTCAAACTTTATGCAAGGTTTTCCATTACCCTGAGCCTCACAGCCCCCCTGAGGAGAGCTGTTACAGCTCAGGGAAGGAGACCTGCTCAGGAAAGATTAAGTGCCATTCTTTGTGCTCCATAGGGGGGCTGTTTTGAGCTGGGATTAGCTCGTACAGACTTCTGAGCCACTTGTCCCATGCTTGGGTTTCCTGTGCTGCATAATTAATGGTGGTTTTGGGGCAGCGCCTGCGGACACTTGTGTTGTTGGTACAGGCAGACACAAGGACCTGTGTGTGCTAAAATAATAGTGATCACAGCTCAGATGTTTGAATGCCAGAGCACTGCTACAATAACTTTTACTTAGGGTATTTTTGGGGTCTGGGATCATCTTTGTGTTTTTCATTTGTTGATTTATATACCTGGTAAATATCCTCCTGTTATATTTCATATCACCCATTTTTTGGTTAACAAAATTTACCTGGTTTTGGATTTGTTTCCCTGAAACTCCTTGATAAAACTCCCTGGCAGAGGGTGTCCTGGCTGCTGTGGAATGAGCCTGAATAACTTTGACAGACCTTGAAATGCATCTGTATGGATCAGATTACCTCAGAAGTAAGAGGAAATTTATATTTATTGGAAGGTACCGGTCCTTTCTCAGTACTTCTGCTAGCGCTGAGAAAAATGTTAAGGGTAGCACTTTGGAAAGTGTATAATTAATATTACAGGGACAGTCTCAGGGCTGAGAGATCACAAAACTGGCATGCTGTAACTTACAGTAAAATCCCACTTTGAGAAATCACCATTAAAAAATGTTCCTACTCAACAGATCTGCTGCTGCTGTGCAGAGCTGTATCTGCTGACTCCAGTCACAAAACAAGTTCTTTGCTTTTTATTCTCATCAGTCCTGCAGAGCCAACGCATCCATGGGGCTGGGGGCTGGCTCTGGGGGACCAGCAGCTGAACTAAATTGTACCTGCAGCTGCTCTGAAGTGAACTCACCAGACAGAGGAGTGAGTCAAACTGGTAAGCAGCAGCTGAGAGCAGACCTGGTCTGCAGTAGGGATGCAAAGGAGGAGAGATGAAAACCACCACTTCAAGTCTGAGGTTCCAGACTATGGTTAAAGAACAAACCAAAAAAAATAACAGTTTTGAAGGGGGGAGATTTTTTTTTTTTTCCCCTCCTTACAGGGAAAGACCATTTGTGTCTTGAAGTTCAATAGCTGCAAGTGTGTTTTTTTTTTTTTTTTTTTTTCCCCTCTATGTAAATGCTGTGGGGGTGTTATACGTGGACAGAGTCATTGTTAAATGATGTAGGTGCTGATTCCTTGCACCGAAATGATTCCTCACACCAAATCACTTAAGAAGTCTACTCATCATAAATGTTGATGTTTGCGGTGCTTGTTAAAACTCCAATGTTCTGGTACCGTTTCCTATTTTTGATGCTGAAGCATACGTATCGTTTCTTGCTTTTATTTCTCTTATGAGTATTTGTGAAATGTTGACATCGGCATTGTAGTTTTGTGTAATATTTTCAACCTGAGATGCTCAAAAATCACGACCTGGACCTCCCCAAACCTGCTGAGACTTGCTTAAAACCCTGTCCCTTTTTTTTTTTTTTTTTTTTTTTCTTTTCCCTCCACATTGGTTTCTGAAATTTTGGGACATACTTATGTATTGTCTTTTACTTTCAAACCTTCTTTCAGTAAAACAGTAAGTTTGTTTTTGTTTTTTTTTGTTCCTTTGTTTTTAATTGATATTTGTCTTACCAGTAATCACCATTTTTAGCTTGAAGATTCAAATTATATTAAAAAAAAAAAAAAAAAGGAAAACTTCAATGGCTGGCCATGGTGAAAGGAGACATCAGATGTTTAGGCTGGTGGATGTGCTCAGGACAGAGGGACTTGGCTTAGCACTGGCAAGGCCCCTGGGTGGCAGCCCCTTGACTGTAGTCATTGACATTTGTCTGCTGGCTTCAGTAATCCAGTTCATTTGTGGAGTCTGGAGGTTTGCCTTCCGGCCAGCATTTAGGGGCTGTGCATTAGTTAAATGAGTTCATGTCCACATGGAGTGCAGCATCTCATGAAGGCTCCACTTTTCCCAAAGTGGAGGATTAAAGAGGGCTGGGCTGACCAGAAAGCAAAACAGAGGCTTTGGCAGCAAATATTTGAAATCCTTCTTTCTGCCTTTTTTTTTTTTTTCTTTTTCCTTTTTACCTCCTCATTCACAAATCACCTTGGAAAGAATGGTACAAGACAGTGACATCAGGGTCCTTTCAAACTGAGTTAACAGTACTGCTGAAAAAAGAGGAGGAGAATCCCTCTCCCACCACAGGGTGGTTCCTGTCTTCCACCTGGGTGTCCCCATCGACTTCATCTCCTCTTCCCTAGCCCTGTTGGGAGACTTCCCTAACTAGAGAGGCTTCCCAGTAGAGAAGGGACAACATCCTGGTCAGTGTAACAGTAGCCCAGGACTCAGGACACAAATTTCTATCCTGACATCCCATAGTCCAGGATTTGTCCTTTATTGCTGAAATTGTGTGACTCTCCTGTGAGGGTCAGGACCAAGAAACTTGTGCATAAAGGATCAGTAAAGCATATTAGATTCCTGTATTCACAGATGCATATATATGTGTGTGTGTTTATATATATATATATTTATTTA